TTCCTATATGAAAGATTGCGTGTTCCCAGGCGCGGATCCAGGGGGGGGGGGGGAAATGGGGGCAATTGCCCCCCCTGAGCAAGTTCAAGATTTTTAAATCAGTACGTGGTATGTCGATTTTTTTAGCTAATTTTGTGGAAGATAAGGGTAAAAATCACAAAAATTGCCCCCCCTCAACGAAATCCTGGATCCGCACCTGTGTGTACAGACTCTTAAAATATGTTGTATTGTTCATGTCCTTTACTGAAATCGATTGTTAACATCTAATTCGACTTTTGATATCTTAGCATTTATAGTCTAAGGTTGCGAAGCTGTACCAATACCACAGAATGCTTGCTATACTCTGGATAATGGTGCTTTATCATGCAATTAGATACTACGTGATGCTACCTACTATCTCGGTTACTACCAATACCTACTTAATAATCTTGAAGTAGATACACTACTAATAATCACTTACAGCTAATTTGTATATCAAACTTTCGATGGTATAGAAGTGATGGCCTAAGGTACAATTCCTAATAAATAGTGGCTTTCTACTTCCTTAGAGCCACAATTACGTGATCCTACCCGCTTCTTCTTAAGTTTTTCATGATTTGGGTATAGAATTTAAAACATACTTTGGCGCCAAATTATTTTTGTCAGAATTAATAGTTGGAATGTGGTATCTTAGCTTTCCCGCAACAGGTGTTTTGAGACTGCGAACATAAATGTTTTCACAAAACTTTAATTAACGAAGCAGTCCAAATGCAATGGCTGAAGTTCATTTAGAAAGACAGAACGGAAAAATAAATGTAAATAACCCCAAGAATAAAAAATTATAAAAATAAACGTTGCCATACTATCCAGTAATATCTGAATAACAATGACCGTACTTTTACGTGCTTATTTTACTAATCTATAGTAGGAATTCATATTATCATTGCTTACCTCTGCTCTGTCAAAAACACCACCACGTGAGAGTGTTTGATAAACTACAAGAACTGTATAGCCAACAGAACCGCACAAGATAATGTCTGCAAAATTTCTTATTTCTAAAGTTCATTTTGGCACTTTCTTTGCAAGAGAGTCACCTGTTCTCCACTATGCGACATTTAAAAACTCCAACACAGCACATAATTTTTCGAAACGAAACACGATCGAATTTAAAGAACACTTCGCGCGTACGGAAGGGTGATGGACGCGTAGATAGACCTGCACCACTGCTTAACAACTGGTAAGTTTACAACTGACTGGAAGTGGGCTTGGGCTTCACATACAAACCCATGGTGCATGGGTCTGCGCGGTCCACGGCCCTTTCTGGCAGCCGGAACCCGGAGTGTGCTGACGGTAGTGGTAGGGGCACACGACAGTGTTTTTATGTGGTCCCGATAAAATAAGACGTTTAACAAAATGAATAGTTACAGAAATTGAGCGTAAAGCCTACTGTATTAGAAGGTAAGACAGGTACCTAGCCTACAAGGTAGGTAGGTATTATTATCTATCCGTTTGTAAATAGTAACCAGGAAGATATCATTTGCAAAAGAGGGTTTTTATTACAAATTGTAAATTATGGGACACCGAGGCTAATATTTATATGCCATCCCAACTAGCAATTTTATATTTTATAATAGTTGCGAAAACGTTTTCGACTAAAAAACTATAAAACAACATTACTTTCAGGAACGTTTTTAATGTGTTTATACGACAGCTATAAATGCAAAATTGGCACCATTTTATAAAATACTTTAGTCTTCGTTAATATTTTGTAAAGACTTTTGCAAACATTATAAAACAATTTTATAAACATTTCGGCAGGTCTTAGAAAAATTTAACGGCAGCATTATAAAATAATTTTATTAAAGCTTTTCATGCTGCGCTATAAAATATACTTGACTATTTCTTATATAATTTTTATAAAATCACTAAACAACAGTTTTATAAAAGCTTTTTAGTAGATTCAGGTAAACGTTATAAAATAAAAATGCAACATGAAATCACAAAAAGTTTTTTAAATGTCTTCTAAAAGCTACAAGAAGCAATTTTGTATTAGGCTCAGGGGAGAATATAATAAATGCTGTCAACTATTTACAAGAAAGAAACACGAAGCCATTTTGTTAATTTTACTTCTACATTCCACACTTTATATACTTTGGAGACATTGTTTAGTGATACCTGAAACCAAATTTTTATTGCAAAGAAAAATTTATCGTGAAATATATAGTATATTTATAACAAAATTTAAGCGCGCCCCGTATTTATTAATGTTTTAAGGAAAAATTTAAACCATACAAAAATTAGCTTTGTAGATTTGAAAATTTTCTGCAGAGAAACTTGCTCCAATCTAATCTAAGCATATTCATTTTATAGTTTTTACGAGTTTACCAGCTGTAAGTATTGACATGAATGCAATATTTAGTAATTTCAAATCGGCCCATTTTGATGTTCCGGAATGCTGCCATTTTAAAATGGCGTTGTTCTATAAAATAATTTTGTGTCGATAGCAAGCATTTTATTGTAATTAAGGTTTTACGCAATCTTTATAAAACTTTTAGAAAATGTTTTACTTTAAAACACATGGTATTGCGGCAGGGCCGGACTGCTTTTAAAGTACTATTTTTTTCTTAAGGAAGTGTGACCTATTTTAAAGATACGAAGAAATATATGGGGTGCTAGTTATTTTGTTATGTCTAAATTAAAAGAAGTAAAAATATATAAACTACATACTTTCCCATACACCTACTAAAACCTATAACTATATTTTTTTGCAAGATATGTACCTAAAGTTTTTTTTTAAGGTTAATTAAATGTACATTTATTTAATTTTATATTTAATTTGAATATTAGAGCCAGTGACTATAGTTATTGGTTCTAATATTAAAATATTTAAGTATTACCATTTCTTACGTTGCGCGTCGCGACAACCATTCTAGTTGTAAAAAAAATTGAAAATTACATAAATACATAAAATATGTGTATTTCTTTTCCAAAAATCTATTGAAGTATTAAAAAAGTGAGACTGTATGGATAGGTAGGTATTATTGTTTGATTTAATTATTTTGTCTACCTTACCGGTGATTTTTAAAAATTTATTATTGGGTTGTGTTTCAATTTTTCCCAAACCTGCCCTAACAACAAATTTATATACATGTACATACATATTTTTTACTAGACAATACAGCTCTAAAATGACTTTTTTAAAATCAAACAAGAAAAATTGTATACGAAGTACTTTCATTAAAATACGGCCCTGTCAATTTCGCTGACTTTTCGTAGAAACATCTGATTGTTGTTTACATGATAGGGAGTGTCTATATTTCTAGTTAGCAGCTCTTTTGCTAATAGACGGTGTTTTGGCGACTCTTATAAAATAAATTACTTACTCTTGCTATATTTTATCTTTTTTGTGATAAATCTGTTTTTATTTAGTGGTATATGTGACTAATACCAGCAATACCTGCCAGGGCCGATTTATCCGTTAGGCAAGAAAGACAACCTAGGGCGGCAGGGTTTTAGGGGGGAGGCAAAAAAAATATTTTTATTAATTTAAATTTTTTATTTTACCGGTGGGTGGGAGTCAAATTTAGTGAATCTTCTAACGTTGTCACGTTACTCTTTGACCATACGTCTAGGTCTAGGGTGCCAACACCCCTAAATGCGGCCCTGATACCGGCATTAAGTACCACCCATAACCCAATATAAAACGTCACCTCATTACTCTGTAGACTAGGCTTCATATTTTTTTTATTATAGACATTTTATATGCTTATTATTTCTTACGTTAGCCAAAACTGACAAAAACTATAGTAGAGGGGCTAGGCGGCTATCAGGCCCCTTTTCAGTAAAGGAACTATATCGGTTCTATCTCCCTCTACATCAGCGAGATCTAATCAAATTTTAAACAGGTTTTTAACGGGTCTGTTGAACAGGCGAACAGGTCAGGTGAACAGGTTTGTGGAAAGCTTTTAACAAGTTTAAACCTGTTAAACCTGTTTTAACCCTGTTAAAAATTAATAAAAAGAGTGGGGGGATTTTATTTAATCTCGTTGATGTAGAGGGGAGTTCAACCAGTATAGTTCCTCCACTGAAAAGTGGGCATATAGTCGCCTAGCCTATCTGCCTATTATATTACCTAACCTCTAAAATAAACATCAGTTGGCTCATTCCAAATATTCTTTCTTATGTGGTTATGGACAGCACATGTATATTCACCTAAACAATTTAATTTTATAAGAAGTTTATTATTGTTTTCATATTGTAGTAAAAATATCATACTATAAAACAGTTTTGAAGTGATCACTAAAACAACAATATACTTTTTAAACCGAAATTGTTTCCAAAAGTACTGCAATAAAACTATTTTTTAAAGCCATAGGAAGCAACATTAAAATTATTTTAAAATGTATTTATAAGGGAATTAAAAATATTGCCGAAATGTACTAAAAAGCCACTATAAAACAATTTAATTTTATAAATAAAAATGTTATATAAGTTGGTTATAGAAACATTTCTACGATAATTTTGTGACTGTTTTATAACATATTTTATAACTCTATTATATAAACGTTTTGATGATAATTTTATAAAACATTTTAGCTGCCTACAACAAAATAGTGTTCATGGCATGTCTAATATAATCAATTGGCAACTTGGAAATAATATTAAAATACCAATAAAACAAAATAGTTGCAGAACCATCAAATTATAAAATAACTTTGCTGGTTGGGATTCTGTATACAGTGTGTTTCCTTCTCTTTTACTTCAAAGTAAATTTCAAGTAGATATTTCGATAATAAAAAAGTAAATACTTTTTATTTAAATGGGTTTTAAATGATCTTAAATGATATTAAAAATCTTAAACAATGATTAGGTTATTGAATATTAATTATTATTTTTGTATTAAAGATTTGCTATAAAATTATAATAGACCCTAGAATATGGGTGGATTTCCGGAGTAAAAAAGGCTTATATGCTTTAAAAAAACTCGTTTCTCTATTATAGAAACCTGTCTTACCACTAAAGCCCGGCTAGCTCAGTCGGTAGAGCATAAGACTTTTAATCTCAGGCTCGTGGGTTCTAGCTCACGTTGGGCGCCAAAGTTATGTACCTAACGATAGTTCGTAATTAAACGAAGAAGTTTCTAGGTCGGAATTTGAATTTCTAGCGGCAAGCAACAAAAATTCTTGCTTTCTTGGGTACAAATCTACAATGTTTCAAAATAAAAAGCGAAAGCAATCAAGTTATGACGTGTATCATCACATAGCAAAAACATGCAGCTGTAATAGTTTAACTTAGAATAAGTAAAATACATTTAAAAAAAATAAAAATCGATAATATTAAAAGGAACTAAAATAAATAACATGTCGCACATCCCGAAGAAAAGTGTAATAAATCAAACAGAGCAAATTTTACAGGAGAGTCAAAAGAAATTGACATTACTTTTAATTCTTTATTTTACAAAAAAAAATTTCTAATATGTAATTTCGATTATTACCAAGCAAAATGTAGTTTATCTATTAACATTTGCTACTGACAAAAATGGAATATTTTGGAACAATGTCCTTATTTTGTGAGGTCCTTTTGAATTATTTCATTTTTCTTGGGAAATATTTATTTGTTTTTGTTTTATGATAGCTAATAAATGTTTCCATTGAATATAAAAACATAATGACTACATGACTGTAACTATTTTCCAGTCAGGGTATTTTGGGTGGCATATTTTTGCTATAAAAATACAACTTTCCTTCAATAAGTCTATTGCAGTTAAGGTTTTTACAGAGGCCTAAGAAAATTTTAATTTGTTGCGAACAATGAAGCAAATTAAAAGTTATAAACTTATTAAACACAACAAGGTTTCTATAAACGGTAAACAGAAAAAAAATCTCTCATGTAAGATTTTCTACCACAAAGAATCATAAAATGGTTTGTAGTATGTAGGAATGTATTTTTTTGTTAACATAAACTTAATAACAAATTATATCGAGAATACCGTAATAACTTTAAATAATGCACTTTTACCACGAAACCATCAATAAAAATTGCCGATGGCTCCTGGGAAAAACTGTAATTACTACAAATATTACGCTCTGCTGCGGACACAACACTACAAATTTGACAATAGTCTCCACAATGGGGTATTTTCCCAAAAAAAAATTTTTTTTTCAAGAATCGGAGAAGTAGAGATAAAAGTACGAGATACGTATTTTTTCTTTTGTATTTTTTTTTTTCATTTAGGCTAAAAAATTTAATTAATAAGATTTATTGATGACGTCACCAAGCGCAAATTCAAATTTTTAGGGGATTTCTAATCCTATAGTGGTAGCTTTCGTAATTGGTAACACTTTTTTAACATTGAATACTTTACACCTAACCTCATTATTCATTGTTTATTTTATAAACATGGTTTTAAGTGAACTTGTGAGTTACTACAGTTTTCATATAATGAACTATATTTTATACTTACACATTTAGGTGGATATTTATTGGAAATTTGCAAGCAAAGTGGTAAAAAATGACATACCAAGAATTTGATATTAGTCACAGACCTCTATGTTAGAAGTGCCACCCAACCAAGCAGCCATCATATTTTTGGTGATTTCCCTAAATTGCGCTTGGTGACGTAATCACGTAAAATTTAAACTTTAAATTGAAATAAAATATTTACGAATGCCCGTGGTGCACTTATTTCTGCATAAAAAATTCTAGAAAAAAATATATTTTTAAAATACCAATATTTCCGTTTATTTCATACTAATGAAAATACCCCATTAAGGTGCCAACTACAATTGTTACACTTTTCCAGGAAAAGTTATTGATAACAGCTCATAGATCCTCCGAATAAAATGGCAACAAATACAAATATTACACTTTTTTTCGGCAATTGGTATAAGATACTACGTCGCAACTCACTTTAACACTGTTTTCGCGGGAAGACGCTACCAAATATGAACCGTGGAAAAGAGACGTGCGCGCTACCTGTCGGAAGATTTATGAATTTACTTTATTATAGTTTTCTCGGGAGAAAAGTCGGTAAATTTTCTATGTAACGTGGAGCAAAACTGAAAATTATTTTTTTCCCGAGTTATTACATTTTTTCTTCGGGATGTGCGATGTATGCAAACGTGAAGCACCTATATTGTAGGTATGCATCCAGATTTAGATTCTACTCTACTCTTCTCTCCTCGTTTTAATTTATATAGTGGATGTACTAATCTGACATCCCGTGACTTCTGAAGTACATATTATATTACTTGAAAATCATAAACCGGTAGGAGGGCCTTAGGGCCTCAAAACTCGCACCAGAGAGTAGGTACTTTTCAATTACGTGGTATCAAAGTTCAAAATTTTTTGTTTAATCTATACCTATATAAGGTCTCAGAAGTCTTAAATCCGGCACTGGTAGCGGCAACGGGGGGTATAAGATTAGATTAGCCCCAGGTGGTGTTTCTGGTTAATCCGCCACTGTAGCTCTGCCACTTCAGACGAACAAACGCAAAATGTTTCACTTGTCTTTATATTCATTTATCTTTAAATTTAATTGCATGAATCACAATTTTTGTACAGACAACGAGTGAAGCATAATATACAGGTAAAGGGAGAGTACACATGGGCCGATTCTGGTGGAGGCGCCGGACAGGATATATTTCATAATGAATTCCCAGAACCATTTAGACATCTTTCCATGGTTCTACAAGGCGTTATTCTTCCTTCTCAACGCTTTGTGGTTCACATAAAAATGTGTAAATGACTTAATAATTAATTATGAAACATATCCTGTTCGGCGCCTCCACCAGAATCGGATCATGTCTGTGTACTTTTCCCAATGTGTACCTATATTAGTTTGGAATGTCGGGGAGAGAGTCGGGTATATTGTACCACAGATGATTTTCTCTCTGGCGTCAAAACTATTTGTCTAATTTATCTAAAAAAAAAAACTACATTAAATCTATTAAATGGTTTTCCAACAAATTGTGCTTTTGCTTAAAAAAAATTATGCAGGCATCACCAGGAATTTAGAAAAATAGGCGGTTAAAGAAAACGGTAAGAAAGGTAGATACAACTTACTCAACCGGTATTATAAGCTAAATTGGACCGCGTGCTTGCTATACTACAGTATCATAATAAAATTAATATTCTACTTATTACGTATACATTATATTTTAAAATAATAAATAAATTTAAAGCCATAAAAGACAGAAAGAAAGTTTTTATTAACTGATACATAACATGGCAGATGTATTGAAAAGAAATAAAAAAATCCGTGAATCCAGTATCGACATTTTCTGCATGTCTAAGGCCTCTTACATACGGACGGCCAATCCGCCAATCGGCCAACTCACCGTTAAAAAACCGGAGAAAAATAATTAATACTTATTCAAATACAAATTTTTACACGGGCCGGCTCCGACTTTTGTATCGGCCGGTCGCCGCGCCGTTGCAGTTAAAATTTGAACGGCCCCCCGAACACCACACAAATTTTAGCTGCCGGCCGCCGCCGGTATCTACCGCTGTATTTGTTTTGTTACAAACAAGTCTATGCTTGTTAACACACCAACGTTGATTTTGCCTTCACCGTTCGACAGAATCGTGTGCATTTGATGTTTGTATTTGAACTAGTGCAGAAGCGTTTACAATATATCAAAGACAAGTTGTGAATAATTTAAGAAAATGAAAATTTTTTATATTGAATTGTTCATTTGTGCAGTTGAACAACACCCTGTTATTTGGGACAAATCAAATGAAGAATTTAAAGACCGAAATAAAACTAAAGATGCATGGGAAGCAATATACACATTTATCGTTTGTTTATCGAAAATTATGAACAACTCTAGATGGAAAAGAAAAAACTCAAAAAAAGGTTAGTATACTTACAAGTTAATTAGTATACTTACAAAAACAATTGAAGGGGTGGATGGATATGGTGTTAACTAACAAATTGCAATTTTGTCACAAAACCGTGTTTATAAAACAAGATAGTTTTTTAATTAGCTGACAAATAAATATGCACAAATAACAAATAGTTACTTTTTTTGAAACTTTCATAATCAATACACTTCGGAAGGTAGGATGGCACTGACTGCTGTACTTATACAAACCTACCGGCCCATCACCGGTGCCGTGTGTAAAATTCCACAGATTAATTACCCTTGCGGCAAATTGGCCGATCGGCGGATTATCCGTCCGTGTGTAAGTGGCCTAATGCAGAGAATGTCTAGGGATGGACGATATCGCAATTTTTCGGTATCGACGTGTTTCGTTACTGCAATTTTTTAATATCATTTATTTTAATTCGATGACTATAATATCCTCCAGCAAAATATATCTATCTAGCGCCTACGTTCACTGTCACTGTTAGTCGATAAATGTTGTGTCTCTTACTAATTCTTGTTTATAAGGAAATATTAATACGTTTAAATTAATCAAATAACTGAACAGAATTTAAAATATCGTAGGCGCTTGTAAAATCGTGAAATTTCTATGTCGTAACGGATATTTTTACATCCTAAACGCAAATTAAGTTAGGGCGTATTGCCATGGTCGCGGTTTTTTTAGATTTAGAAAATTCGCCAATACGATGTTTCTTGTTATAAATTTTGCTATTTATTTTTTTTTATTAGTAAAGCCATGTTTTTTTAAAATGCTGACATGTTTTTTTAATGTCGATATGTTTTTTCCAAATGCCACTATGTTTATCCTATATGTTGCAATTTTTTCTTAGTGATGCCTCATTTTTTCTAATAACGGCATTTTTTTTAATTTCGCAGTATTTTTCGTTGGAATGTCGCTGTTTTTGCTAAATGCCGGTGTGTTTTTTCTAAGCATCACCTATTTATTTAAAGTTTGTAAAATACGCTGCTTTTTTTTAATTTTTGATTTAATGTTAACATGATTTTTTTCTGCAGTCATATTGCAGTCATGCCATGTTTTTAAATAACATTGTTTGTCGCCGCCGTGTTTTAAAAAATATCGCTTAGCTATTTAAAGTTTCTAAAGTACGTTATTTAAAAAAAGAATGAATATACCTATACATATATTTCCCAATTTTGATTTTTTTCCATGAATAATGAATAATATCCCTCTCTAGGTACTGCAT